GGGGGGGGGGGGGGGGGGGGGGGGGGAGGTGTCAGAGCATGAACCCGCCTCATTCCCACGGCGAGGGGGCTGAAGGAAGAGGTGATCTTAAGGCTGCGGCTTACACGAGTTGAGACCGGGAGGTCATATGATGCATATGCCAAACTTGAAGCAACATTCACCAGCAGCGTCAACGTTGTGCCAGATGGTTTTCTCACCTTGTCGGCCGGGAAGTACTCGTCGAGCTTGCAGGCCGTGATGGACGCAGGCACCCTCGGCTTGGGGCTCGTCGTGGAGATGCAGAACGCTACTCCGGCGGCCGTCAGAGCAGCCAGCACCTGGTTGTGGTTTGCACGACGACACGTGCTACTGCTGTCGAGATTGGCGACGACATAGGCAAGTATCATCCGATCGCCACGCCTCTCGCCTCAGCACAAGCCACCAAAGGAGACGTGATCGCGCATGCGGTGCCAGGGTTCCAACGCGAAGGGCTGGCGCAGAACAACGCGCTGATGGGACCAACGCAAAAATTAGCGCACTGATGGGGACCGACGTACGCCCACGAGCGTCGTCTGCCAGCTCAACATCAAACCATCCGAATCGTGCCTGCGGACCGCAAGGGCGGGGGTGGACGGCTAGACAGGCGAAAAAAAAAACTAACAGCGAAAGAGACAATGACGCTACGACAAAGACGTGGACAGTCTAACAACATCACGCGATCGACGCATAAATCAGCAAAATAAACTAACTTTCCGTCACGGCATGCATATTTGAGGCAGAGTCATACATGCACAGACCCGCTAGCACTGACCACGCACCTCCGGTACTCCGTTGCACGGCTGAGCGATCTTGCTGAGCGCGTCCACGGTCTCCGTCTTCTGCTGGATGAGGAGGTTCTCCTTCTCGCCGCCGTCGGGGGCGCGCAGCTCGGCGAAGGTCTTGAGCCCGAACTTTTTCCGATGGGGGTCGACGGCGTCTAGCATCTCCTTGGGTTCGGACTTGGCTGCATGCGCGTTTTCAGAAGCAATGTCGATGACGGAGAGGGGGGAGAGAGGCTTAAGCGCAATGGCGTGCTACGTATATAATCTGTGTGCCGCCCTTGGGGGTCGAGAAAAACAAGACTGTCGCCCAAAAGCTTGAAATACTACAACCAAAAAACTCTGCTTGTTTTACAAGTGGAAGACGAATGCATCGATAAACATGGTGTCATGCCGTAAATGTGCTTGTAAGAATGAGGGGGGTTGAGTGTTGCTTTGTTCTTGCCTGCGCTGACTCCTTTACAGAACAAGAAAAGGCTTTCACCACTTGACGAGTGTCTACATGTCGCATCGATCCTGGGTAACCAAGACTCTTGTCACATTATCGCGTACCCGATATTGAAAATTTCTTTATGACTTGGCCCTGTATGAACAAACTACATATGGCTCTGAGTTCCCTCGCGTGCAGTCAGAGAGACTCCCGCACGCAGGCAAAAAGACGGAAAAACAAACGAAAAAAGACGTTCGCCACAGCCCGATTCCACTGGTCCGCGTTCAACTGACAAGAAAAACAGAAGGATTTTGCGAAGCAGGCAAGGATGGTCTCTCGCCTTGCGCTGCTTCTGCTCTCTCGTTCTCTCTTTCTCTCCCTCTCTCTCTCTCTCTCTCTCTCTCCTCTCTCTACTCTACCTCTCTATTCTCGCTCTCTCTCTCTGGTTTGCCCCTTCTCTCCCTCTCTTTTCACTCTCAATCTTTTGTGTCTGTTCGTCGGGTGTGTGTTGATCTTGCAAAAACAAACAAAAAGCTGGGTCTGTTGCTCATTTGGTTACAATACGGTGTGCATATGCAAGGAAACTCCACCTGGTGTTATGCAGTGCCTCATCCCGCCGTGGATTCGAACGCCTCTAGTCCGTGATTTATCTCAGACTAAACGAGGGCGGGCTGGGCCGGCCACCCGTGGAATAAATAAAAAACCTTTCTATTGCGTATTGCGCGCCCCCAAACTGGAAATGAAAGCATACCCAACACCAAAACAAAACACACCCGTCAAATAATCTCTCCGGCTCAAACCATGATGTACGCAAGGAGGCCAACAAGACAGCAAGAACAATGTTTGACTTGGCATTGGATGTGTGTTGCGTTGTGTTTTCGTCCTACATACATTCCTCCCCCACCTGCGAACGCCTCCGAGATCGTGCTCAGCCCCGCGGCCTTGCGGTCCTCGTCGACCTTCTCTACCATGAACTCGAACGCCTTCCCGGCGTTGTCGCGCACGAACTCCGGCATCAGCCCGTCCAGCTTGTCTGGGGCTGGCGTATCGTGTGTCGGTGGAGACACGAAACGCCGTCAACATCGCAAGATTGGAAAAAGTAACATGGAGACGTACAAAACGCCGTAGGTGCAGCTGTAGAAAAGAAAAGCTGCCGAGCAATGAGAGCTGGAATTTAGCATCGAGTAGGAGTTTTAAAGTAGCAGTAAACGTTGCATTTTTCGCTTGTGCATCTACAGTACACCTGGTCCATGATTGAATCCTTCCCTCACTTCCTGCTGGCAGAACGGTCGGTTGCTGAATTCCCTGTTCGAGAAGCTCGCACAAGGCGTGAGGCCGCCCTTCCCTGGCTTTGTACGAAATAGTGGTTGGTCGTTTTGTGTAATCGCAACGGTTGCATTGAAAAAGGGGCAGACCTAATGCGAATGCATTGATGATCGGCCCCCGCTGGCCCGCGTGTATTTTTCATGATTACACTCCTTTCTAAGGGAGCATAAAGTTACAAGAAGAGTTGGAAGCTGGCACACTTTTATCGCAACATGTAAGCTCTTTATGGGAGCAAAAAGTTCCGCAACAAGTTTGGAAACTTTTGCTATCAAAAGTTAAAAGTTGACAACAATCGCGCCATTTGGAGTAGAAGTTTGCAAACTTTTCTCGCGACTGAAGTGTCGGCCAAAAGGTTCGCGGCGCGACTTCCGCCAATCCACGCCAACCCCCTGCTCATACCACACACCACACACGTAGACGTTCTCCCGCGCGAATACGCGCACGATTCACACGATAGATGTACGGCGAAGCCACAATAATTGAACGACGAGTTGGAACCGCCTGCGATGGCCGCAGCTGTGTAGGATACATATCGGTAGAGTCTGCGTCAACAAGTTGTGTTGCATGTGAGCATCATTGAGGCATTCCTGGTTTCGACTCGAAGGCACAACGCCTTGTGCGACCAACTCGTCTTCCAAGCTTTACTTGCACGCTTTGGCCGGGACCGCGGTGTGGTATGAAGGGGTGTTCCTGCTTCTCGCCGTTGTTCAATGAACAAAAAAAGCCTCCCCATTCCATCCGCGGAACTTCGGAGATGATAAATTGGATGGTCGGGGGACGTCTGGGTGTTAACTAAGCAGAGCGCCCGGCACAAGACTGGGGTACTTGTGTCAGGAGGTGTGAACTTGGATCTAGACTACGAGCCTATGTTGGAGGCGCTATTTAGCGTCGGTGAGCCGGCAAAAGAACTGAAAGGAACCACAACCCCC